CCCCCCCCACACACACACCCCGCACTCACACACACCCTCAGACATCCGCCGCGGTGTTCATTGGCATGGACGGTGATGTGAGCACCTCCAGCATCGCTCTGGCAACAGGCCTTGACCTTGAGTCGTCTGTTTCCGCTGTCTCCCAAGGTACACATCACCGTCCCCGACACAGTCACCTGCTTACGTTGCCACTTCCCCACCCCCTTCTCCTAACTCCCCACCAACCCGCTCACTCACCCCCTCCTCCCCCCCACGCACACCACCAACAAACAAACAACAGCTGTGTTTGGTGTCGACAAGGCTGTGCTTGCAGATGCGCTGGAGGCCTCCATTGTCCTCTCCTCTGCCCAGCTCGCCGATGCCCCCGACGCCCTCACCGTCTTCGCCGCGCTCTCCAAAGGTGTGGGCACCTTGCCACCGACCGTTCGGTTCTCCTCGTGCCTTGCAAAACATAAATCCACACAACAACCCATTGGCACCTCCCAGCGCATGTGCGTCCTTGGCACTCACACACACACATACACACAAACACACGCACACGCACACGCACAAACACACACACACGCACAAACACACACACACACACACACAAACACACTCACACACACAAACACTCACACTCCAATGCACATCTCCTCCACCCTCCCCCCTTTCCTTTTGGTAGCTTCCTCGGCGTCCATCCTCGCTGGTGGTCACGCCCTTGTTGGCAGTAACAACAACGGCAACTTCTGCGGTCACACCCTCCTCTCCATCACCCTCGATGGTAAGTACATCAGCAACACCTCCACCGCGTGATATCGTCACCATCCTACCCCACACCTGCATCATCATTCATTCCTCACCTCCGCTGTCCTCCCAACCCCCCCCAAAAACAAAAACAAAATCTCTTCAGACGACATTGAGGTCACCACCATCTCCACGCTGACCCCGGCCGCCGCGTCCGCAGACTGGACACACATGCAGATGATCCACTCTTCGGTGCGTCTTGTTTTGCACCACACACACACACACACACTGCATCTCTTCTCTCGCTCTCTGTGTCTCTCCCCCCCTTTCCCTAGTTCCCTCTCTCCCTCCCAACCCCAACCACACATCATGCACAGCCCAACATCCCACTCTTCCTCACATCCCATCTCCCCTTCTCCATTATCCCCCCTCTTCTCCCCAACCCCTTCTCCCAACACCCACCCACCGTCCCAACAGCTCCCTGCAAGCAACGAGCAGTGGTGCCTGCGCATGGACCATTCAGACGTCGTCCAGCTCAGTATGTTCAACTTGGAGTTGCGATTGTCGAATTCACCTTTCATCTCTTTCCAAATCCCCACCCCACCCCCCTCACCACTTACCTCCGCCCACCCACGACACACTTCACCACCCCGCAACCTCCAGGCGAGGATTTGTCTTCATATCGCACCATCCTGAGCGCTGCCTCAGGCCACCGCGCACGCCGTGTCGTTTCCACGACGACCACGACCACGACCACTACCACGACGTCCACCACAACGGGCTCCTTCGCCTCGTCCTCAGTCGCCTCAAGCGTCCTCGCAACAACCACAACCACCACTACCACCACCACGACAACCACAACCACAACTACTACCACCACCACCACGACAACCACAACCACGACCCTCGTCGTCACCGTCTTCGATGGCCCCTCCTCCGGCTGGGTGGAGTTCCAAGGCTCAGAGTACAACGTGTACGCAGACACCAAGCTGTCGTTTGGTGATGCCCAGGCCGCATGCGAAGCCGTGGACGGTAACCTTGCTGTCGTCACATCCTTCCATGAACACGTGTGGGTGACTGGCTTTGCACTCGGCCGTACCACCAACAACGAGCTGTGGATTGGTGGCATCTTCCCCACACCGGGCGAGCTCGCCTGGATCGACGGCAGTGAGGTTGTTGACTTTGACCTGCCATTCAGGGAGGGCGAGCCATCCGGCAACTCCCAGGAAGGCTGCCTTCTGCTGAACGCGCGCAACGAGAACGATGTTCGCACGGGCACGTGGGAGGATCTGCGTTGCGGTCGCTCCCGCTCCTACATCTGCGAGAGGCCTGCACCCACCACGACAACGACCACCACGACCACGACCACCACGACGACAACGACAACCACCACGACGACCACAACCACCACCACAACCACCACGACTACCCTGTCCACCACCACAACGACCACAACCACCCTGCCACCAGTCACCGTGTTCGACGGTCCGGACGGCTGGGTCGAGTTTGGCGATTACGAATACAACGTGTACGACGAGAACAAGCTCGGCTTTGGCGATGCCCAGGCCGCGTGCGAGGGCTTTGGCGGTAACCTCGCTGTCGTCCTCTCCTACTACGAGCACATCTTCGTCACCGGCCTTGCACTCGGCCGCACACCAAACAACGAGCTGTGGATTGGTGGCATCTTCCCCACACCGGGCGAGCTCGCCTGGATCGACGGCAGTGAGGTTGTCGACTTTGACCTGCCATTCAGGGAGGGCGAGCCATCCGGTAACAAGCAGGAGGGCTGCCTGTTGCTGAACGCGCGCAACGAGAACGATGTTCGCACGGGCACGTGGGAGGACCTGCGCTGCGGCCGCACCCGCTCCTACATCTGCCAGCGCCCCATCCCAACCACCACCACCACAACAACGACAACGACGTCCACCACGTCCACGACAACGTCCACGACCACCACAGGCTCCTTTGCCTCGTCGTCATACGCCTCGAGCGTCTTTGTCACCAGCACCAGCACCACGACCACAACCACAACCACAACCACGACGACCACAACCACAACCACCACCACGACCACCACCACAACAACCACAACCACAACCACGTTCGCTGTCACCGTCTTTGATGGTGTGTCTTCTGGCTGGGTTGAGTTTGGCGAGTCTGAGTACAACGTGTACGACGAGAACAAGCTCGGCTTTGGCGATGCCCAGGCCGCGTGCGAGGGCTTTGGCGGTAACCTTGCTGTCATCACGTCCCAGCACGAGCACGCGTGGGTGACTGGCTTCGCTCTTGGTCGCACACCAAACAACGAGCTGTGGATTGGTGGCATCTTCCCCACACCGGGCGAGCTCGCCTGGATCGATGGCACGGAGGTTGTCGACTTTGACCTGCCATTCAGGGAGGGCGAGCCATCCGGTAACAAGCAGGAAGGCTGCCTGTTGCTGAACGCGCGCAACGAGAACGATGTTCGCACGGGCACGTGGGAGGATCTGCGCTGCGGCCGCTCCCGCTCCTACATCTGTGAGCGTCCCATTCCCACGACCACGACCACGACCACGACCACCACAACCACGACGACAACCACAACCACGACGACGACTACCACCACAACCACGTCGACCACAACCACGACGACGAGCACTACAACCACCACCACAACCACCACAACCACAACCACAACCACCACAACCACCACGACTACGACAACCACAACCACCACAACCACAACCACGACGACGACGACCACCACCCCTCTGTGGGTCGAGTTTGGCAACTCCGAGTATCAAGTGTATGGCGTGGACAAGGTGGGCTTCGGCTCCGCTGAGTCCACCTGCGAGAACAACGGCGGCCACCTGGCTGTCGTCACCTCCCAGGACGAGCAAGACTGGCTGGAGGTGTTTGCGCGCAGCATGACAACAAACAACGAGGTCTGGATTGGCGGCGTGTTCAACACGCCAGGGCAGCTCGAGTGGGTTGACGGCACGGACGTCGTTGACTTTGGTCTGCCATGGGAGGAGGGCGAGCCAACTGGCGAGGCAAACGAGAACTGCCTTCTCATGAGCGTGCGCGACGCCGACAACAACCCAATTGGCACGTGGGAGGACACGCGCTGCAACCGCAAGCGCTCCTTTGTCTGCGAGCGTGAGCTGCCGACGACCACAACAACCACCACCACCACAACCACGACTACAACCACCACGACCACCACAACCACGAGCACGACCACGACAACGACCACAACCACCACCACAACGACAACCACCACCACAAGCACCACAACAACGACAACCACCACCACAAGCACCACAACAACGACAACCACCACCACCACCACAACAACGACAACCACCACAACAACGTCGACCACCCAGCTCGTGTCTGCCCTGGTCAACCCAAGCTTCGAGCTCGACTCGTTTGAGTCAATGTTCCAGCCAGGTGAGGCCTTTGCTTGGGCGGTCACATCGTCCGCTGGCGTGCTTAAGGCCGAGGGCTTCTTCACCGACCCCACACCGGAGGGCGCACAGGTGCTGTACATGACCGCGGGCGCAACGGCGGAACAGACATCGACGGTTGCCGTCTCCTCTGGCGAGCACTACACCATCACCCTCTCCTTCGGCCACCGCACCAGCCTGGACATGCTCCAGTGCACTGTCCTCGTCACCACCTCCGACACCACCACGCAGCTGTCAAGCATGACAGTCGAGCGGAACCAGGTGCCCGCGGGCCGCTTCACCATCTTTGCTGTCGACTTCACTGTCCCAGAGGGCGTTGATGGCGAGAACATGGTGCTCAGCTTCGTCGCTGGTACAGGCACGGGTCAGGTTGTAGTGGACAACATTGAGATCTTCAAGACACCCGCGTAAGCATCACGCACATGCACAGCACCCGCGCACATGCATGCGTATGTGTTATCCCCATTTGCTTGGTGACGCGCATGTCTTTGTGTTGTATCTCTCTAAGTCACTGTTTCTTTTGTGTCCAGTGGTGTATCCATTACACCTTGCATGCCTTCCTTGCTTCCCTTACCCCCCTCCACTTCCATCCGCGCTTGTGGTGTTCTTTTGCTTTCTTTCCTCCATTTCGTGCCCCATCCCCCGTATTCTCCCTTAGACGATGGTGACACTCGCATGTTGAATGGTGCTGTGGTTTGTGGATGATGCTGGTTCTGTTGTTGTTGTTGTTGTTGATGATGATGGTGGTGGTAGCGGCGATGTTGATGATGAAGGGATGACATGTGCTGCAGAGAGCGAGGAAGGAAGCAATTGCCTGTATCAACCATGGGCGTGGTTACTGGTCTGGGGGCCCCAATTCTTTTCCCCTGCACTCGTGCGTGCATGTAGTGTAACTGTGTGCACGTTTCGCTGTGCTGCTGGTTGTACATGTTAGTGCTTTATGTGTGCGTGTGTGTGTGTCTTTGTTGTTCTGTACCCGTCGTCGCGTGCGTCGTTATGTTACGCATCCATCCTCCCCTGATGAAGCTGCATCTTGACTCTTTTGCGCTTCTCTTGTACTTGTTGTACTCTTGTTGCTGTGAACGCACCGTTGTGTGTGTGTGTGTTTGCCCTGCGTGTTGCGTGCTGCGTCTCTCTTGTGGATACACTTGTCACCAGCAGACGTCTTCTTCAGTTTTGTGTAGCACGTTGCGACGACGTCCTTGTTTTACTTACTGGCTTGTTGTTGGTTGGTAGTCCTTGTGTCTTGTGTCTTGTGTCTTTTGTGTCTTTTGTCTGTATGTGACATGACATGGTGTGGTGATCGCATGTCGCCTTCACAACCATTGCATTGGTGTCACAGACGACACGTGTCGCTTCCGTTTGTGTGTGTGTGTGTGTTTGTACGTGTGTGTATGTCGTCGTTTGGTCTTGCTTTGAGAATGAATCAAACAATACACAACCAAGAAAAGAAGGAAGTCTTGCGTGCGTGCGTGTGTGTGTTGTGTGTGGCGAGGTGGCATTGGTTCGAGGGAAGAGGGTTCATTTCATTGTCCGTGACGACATACAAAGCCTACAGAACCGTACACAGACAGACAGACATGCAGACGGACACACACACACACACACACACACACACACACACACATACATACACACACACACACACACGCACAGATACACACAACATCAATCTCATGCAGCTGCGCGGCCTTTGCCCTTTGGCAGTTTCTTCGATCCAATGTCCTCCAGCTCCTTTGCGCGGTAGTAGTGCGGCGCAACCTCAAGCAGCCAAGCGTTCTCAATCTCAATCACGTTCCGGATGTACTCCTTGGTCGTGAATACGAGTTCGTGGTACACCACCCACCGCGGTGTCTTCTCAAACAGCGCGCTGTGCGGGTGAATCTGCACGCTCTGCTGATTCTTCACCGTCTTGTACACGCCGCCTTTGCTCAGCCGCGCCGTGTGGTAGAAGTACCCCGAGGTGATGGCTTTGCGAATGGAGATGTTGTCCAGTGGGTTCGAAGACACTTCAATCTCCACGCGTTCCATCAGTCCTTCCAGCTGTTCCCGCACGTCGCGCGCGCGTTTCATCGAGCGGTGCTGGATAAAGTTCTCAAAGCACCTGAGAGGATAAGAGGATGAGGGAGGGAGGGAGGTTCAGTGGAGGCGGAGTTGAGGGGTGAGGAGGATTGACGGTGATGGGCGGGACAATGAGGAGTGGAGTGATGGATAGGTAAGGATGTGGATGAAGAGACAGACAGACAGATAGACAGACAGACACACGCATACTCACACACACACACTGACCACTGGGTGCTGTATTGGGTCTCCTGCCATTCGTTCCAGATGTTGAGGAGCGTGAGGTGGTCGCCGCCCGGGCGGTGGAAGTTCTTCCGCGCCGTATCAGCATGCACCGCCTGGTGCAGTGTGCAGTGTGGTGGGTTTTGTGTTTGTGAGTGAGTGAGTGAGTGAGTGAGTGAGTGAGTGAGTGAGTGAGTGAGTGAGTGAGTGTGTGTGTGTGTGAGTGAGTGAGTGTGTGTGTGTGAGTGAGTGAGTGAGTGAGTGAGTGAGTGAGTGAGTGAGTGAGTGAGTGAGTGAGTGAGTGAGTGAGTGAGTGAGTGAGTGAGTGAGTGAGTGAGTGAGTGAGTGAGTGAGTGTGAGTGAGCGCGAGGGAGACATGTGTCTGTGGACGCGAGGTGGGAGAATGTGCGTGCCAGTTCGCTCCTAATGTGCTCATCTAAAACACACACACAAACACACACACACACACACACACACGCCCCACCTTGTCTTTTGGTCTGTAGAAGAGGGCGCCGCCGGTGTTGAGCATCGCGGTGATGGACAGAATCTCCTCAACGCACCTGGAGGGAGACGGCAGGGGAGAAGGAAGGATGGCAGGGGGGATAGGTGAGGAGATACGAGCGCACGGAACAGCGATTGCAGTGCACAGACGCAGAATAGTAGTACACACACGTCCACACGTCCACACGTCCACACGTCCACACGTCCACACGTCCACACGTCCACACACACACACACACACACACACACACACACACACACACACACACACACACACACACACACGTCCACACAGGTCCCCACACGTCCATACACACACATACATACACACGGACCACGCACCCGTATTTCTCCGAGGCGATGAGCATTTTGGACATCATTGGATCGACGGGAAACTCTGCCATACGCCTGATGATGCAATCGCATCACCCACAGCAATGACAGGCCGTGAGGGAATGCACAGCCACATGAGGCAATCACCACATGCAAACACTTCCAGACACACACACGCACACACACACACACACACACACACCCCCCACACTACCCCCCTTCCCTTCTCCCCCCCTCTCCCCTTGGATGGCCACCGACCTGCCGAGCTTTGTGAGCTCGCCCCTGTCGTTGAGGGCGCCGAGCGCGTACAGCTGCTCCAGCGCACGCATGATTGTGTCCGCGGGGGGCGGGTCCATAAAGTCGAAGTGGATGATGTCGTTGATGCCAAGACTCTTCAGCAGCAGCACCTGCCATCACAGTGATGTCGAAGGGAGTGGAGGAGAAGTTGAGGGGGGGGGTTGAGGCGAGGGAAGGGGAGTGTTTAAGATGGGTGTGAGCAGAATTGCACGAGCAAACAAAGACTCAGAGGCAGGCACAGACAGATGGACAGACAGAGACAGACAGACACACAGAAATACAGAAATACAGACAAACACACAGACAGACACGGGAATACAGAAATACAGAAATACAGAGACACAGAGACAGACAGACACAGACAGACAGACACACAGACAGACAGACACACAGACACCCACCCACACACACACAAGCACAGCCTTTGCTCTCCACCGCCACTCACCACGTTGCCGAGGTGCGTGCGCTGGATCTCGGGGACGGTGTTGGGCTCCATCTCGTTTTCAAATGCAACGGACGTGTACAGCCGGAAGCATTTTCCGGCGGACACACGACCAGCGCGGCCGGCACGTTGGTCCGCAGACGCCTGCGAGCACGGCGTCACCACCAGACTCTCCATGCCCGTCCGCGGGTTGTACGATTTCTTGCGTCGGGAGAAACACATGGAAGTGGGACGACGGGAGGGAGAGAGAGAGAGACAGAGAGAGAGAGAGAGAGAGAGAGAGAGAGAGAGAGAGAGAGAGAGAGAGAGAGAGAGAGAGAGAGAGAGAGAGAGAGAGAGAGAGAGAGAGAGAGAGAGAGAGAGAGAGAGAGAGAGAGAGAGAGAGAGAGAGAGAGAGAGAGAGAGAGAGAGAGAGAGAGAGAGAGAGAGAGAGAGAG